GTGTAAAGATACAACCGCATAATATAATATCATATTTGCACATTATGTGACGTAATAACGAATAGGGTTTTTGTGTAAATTACCAATATTTATAACGCCGTAAACCATAATAATATAAACATCAATAACAGTAGTGGTATATTGCTTATTACGAAAATCAATTCATTATTTAATAAACAAAAACATAAGCTGCAAACCAAACATTGTGAATGTTAACACAAATATCCAGGAAACCAACGAGCGATATTCATAATAATAATAATAATGAATGATATACCGTCCAGTCTTCATGGACATCGTTTCGGCGAACTGTTAAAATTGTTTTATCTGTTTATATTATAATATATTGGACGGACTTTCACTGTAATTAATATAATAGGGCGATCCGCGAGTGTTTGTTTAATACGCTTCATTGAAGACATAATGCAATGTAAATGTCGTACATTACGCAAAATTAATTTCCAATTCCAATATCGAATCACTGGAAATGTTCAGTAATATATAATAAAATATAATATTATTATTTTGTGGTAAAATAATTATTTTTTAGTTTCAATAGTTCCCATTTTCCCAGAATAATGTAGTATTATGTTTAACGAATAAATAAAGATATTATATAGGTTTAATCGTTTACTGATCAGCATTTTGATTTTTGAACCGAATAAACAAAATATTATACATAATATCATCGTATGATATGGGGGGAAGGAGGGGCCGAACCTAACCACATAATATCATAGGAGAACTTTTAAGTTAAGTAAAACATTTTAAAATTTAAAAAAATATATAGTATATTTTAAAGGGACAAAAAAGAAATGTTACAGCAAGGTTAAATGTAGTTTTAAACTTTTAGTTGTTTTAACTAAGATATTTTTATACATCACATATTTATACTTTTATCAGATTTTAACTTAGGTCCTCAACTCCAATCTTACAATATTTTTAAGGTATTATAAAACCTGGTATTAATTGAAAATGTAAAAATAAACTTATATACCCGTGGTCGAATTATAAAATTTTAATTTTGATTGACTAAGCCTCACCCCCGCACCATCCATATATTATCCCCATCATAAAATGCTAATAGTTATAGTTGATGCTTTAAACCAATAAATAAAAATATATATATATATAACATATCGTAAAATATTTTTATTGAATTCAAATTCCAGACATAGATACATTACATTTGTGACATGGGTATACTCTACGATGAATTACACTGATAACACATACAACTTACTGTTGTACAACAGACCGGCTACCTACTTTATCTCTTTATATTTTTATTTACACCTCAGAAAATATTATATTTACTCATTATTATGATTCCATAATACAATATTATGATACCTTTATTTCAATTAACCATATGAGTTATATGATATGTGATATATTTAAGGATAGTTGATAGGTATGTAAAGATACCTAATTCTGGTGTTTTATTTGCGTTAAGGAAAATGCTATTTAATTTGGACGTTTCGCCATGGAGTTATACCCTAATCTATAGACATAATATTATATAAGTGCATATAATACGCGAACGAGTATACGGTGAAAGGGCGACCTGTGCGTTTGTTTCAGGGTCCGGTCCACTCGTTCGTCTAATACAAAAGAGACGAGTAAAGAGAAAGAGAGTTGTTGGTACAAAAAGCTTTGGGTATCGTGATGATAACGTAGATTGGAGGGAAATCAAGGGAATTTTGCCTTTGATGATGATATCAACTTTTTATCGCGGTGAATAGAAATCTCGGTATCCGGAAAAGGGACAAGTATATTATTGTATATGGGCGTGGTGAAGGAGAGGTGGAAAAAGGACCGGTGCTTCTTTTATCTAAGGTACAAAAATACCATTAAAATTAATATCAATGCGTGTACTTACATATATATATTCTTAAACATAATATATGGTTTTTTTTTGTTCGACAAGTTCAAAGAAAACCTAGATAAATCAAAGACATGTGCAGTAACTATAGGGACAAGGGATGACTATGACTATAATATATAGGACAAGTTTCCAAAATAATTCAATATTGCAGCTCTTTTTTCCCATTGACTGACTTTATTAATTATTTTATATAATATTATTAATAATATTTATTATTTATTATCGACTGCTAAGAATACCTAATTATAATTATTAATTACTGTTTAATATAATTGTGTGTTGAGATCCAACCAAACTTGTAGATTTTCATTTGCAAACCAGACTATTCGAATTTCAAATAATTATTTTTCATCAAACAATAACCGGACTGATTATAACAACTATAAAAAAGTATTATGTTGATACAATGATGACAATAAATACGAAAAATATTATATTAATTTATTACGTTTTTTTTTTTTTACACTAGGTATATGAGTATAATATATAATATGATAATTTTTCTCTTATTATTATATCTATTTATTAGTGTTAAATATGTTGAACAATGAAGTATATAATATGAGCTCTGGTATTTGAATATAGTTAGACAGACAACTATTTATTTATACCTAGTGTCGCATTGTATAAAACAAAATATGTACTTCTACCGGTTGTACCATTATTATTTGCATAATAATAAAATAATTGTTTTTAATTTGTTTGATAATTCATTACTACATCGGTCAACAGCACATTTCTAAATGAGTTTAGAATTTATCTAATGACAATAATTATTATAGCTGACAGCTGTGCTATAGAATCTTCAGTGCGTTAGTTGTGGAATTTAAATAGTATCTATCGATGATTAAACAAACAAAATAGTCTTATAATACTTTCAGTTTACAGTTTTATATAAATATATACAATTCATAAGTACTTATAGAATCATCTGCGTGCAGTGTTCTCGCATTATTTTATTTATTTATTTATTTAATTAATTAAATAAACAACCCAATTACATAATGCACCAGAACTTAAATTACAGTGATGCAGATTTTCGGACAATGCATAAAATGTAGAAAACAAAACAAAAGATGGAATAATAATTGAAAAATATAACTCTTCAAAAATAATAGATGATGGGTCTAACCCGTCTAAAAGTCATTATAATTGGTAACATAATTAATTTGTGGTATAAATAATAAAATTAAAATTGTGCTTACGACTAGATAAACAATGAGGTCAAACAGAGATCTATGTTATATTTATTAGTTAATTACATAATGTGGTAATTCGTCCAGTAATATTAGTTGGTTGGTCTGGAATATATAATGTAATATTATTATAATTAGATATAAGGTGATACGTTGTGAAATCAAAAAGTACAAACGACTGAAGAACTCAGGACAGAAGTTTTATTCTACGTATCCAATTCAAATGGGTTGAGAAAAACTATATCCAAAATAGGTGTATAGGAAGTGTAGGGAACACGGGTTAAATTTCAACGATTACAAAGAAAACCTCAAACATGTATACGGACACCTTCCAATTGATTTTCAATCGATTTGTAGACGCCCAATGAAAAAATGAATATAGACACGACTTGATGGGTTTGCGTTATTAAAATTTCCACAGGAAAATATTTTGATAAGACCTAGCTGTTTTAAAGATTCGTTTTTTCGATGTCTGCGATCGAACAGTTGGTAGCGGGTTTCTGTAAAAACTGTTACAATATTATTATTGCGCGTCTATACATAGAGTTATTTCAAAAGAAAAACGCTGGTTCTTATATATAAGACATATAACACTGCGACGACAACGACCACGACTTCAGCAGCTGTCGATGACGACACGAGTCGACTTGAAAAACTTAACGCGCGATTTAAGCGTAATTTGTATTTTTTTTTTTCATCGCTCTCGTTGTTCTGTGTAGTGCTGTTAGTTGCACCATTGGTCATTAAGTTCCCGTTGTCGTATTGCTGCTAACGTTGGCAACACTTGGTGCTATCGGTAGTCAGCTGCGATGATGGGGCTTAATGATAATGGTTCATTTTTCTGCAACTACAGTTATTGTTTTTAAAATTATTTTTTTCTCTGTCGGTTATTGTTGTTTTAACCTTTGTGCTTGTCATGCCTCGTTATTATGTTTTTATGTCGCCTTTTCGTTTATTGTAAAACCTCGTGACAAACTGAATATTGTTTTTGGCTGTGCTGCTGCGATCTGCTCTATTGTCTGGTAAATATGGTTCGGCAACTCTAATTGATCATTATTATTATTAGTTTTTTCTGCTATAGGGTTGTCATTTTACCAGCAATAGGGCATTTTTTGGCCACCTCTTGTGTTGGTCCAGCATATTATTTTGTTCGAGGGTTTGTGTTGGCGGCATATTTTTGTGCATTCATTTGTGTCGTTCTGCGTGGCCACGTAAGTTGTTTTTTTTGTTGCAATTTTATGAGCTGCAGCTCATGAAATTAAATAATTAATATTTATATTTGAAATTTGTAGCCGCATGAGGCACATTGTTATACCTTTACATATTATATTTATACTTGAAATTTGTAGCCGCATGAGGCACATTGTTATACATTCATATAGTTTATTTTTTTATACTTGAAATTTGTAGCCGCATGAGGCACATTGTTATACATTCATATAGTTTATTTTTTTTTACTTGAAAGTTGTAGCCGCCTGAGGCAATTATATTTTTGTTATAGTACCTTTTATATTTTATATTCAACCAGGCAAATGTTATTATAATTATTCATTCAGCCAAAAATAAAAATTTATACAGTCCACTATTATTAAATTATTGTTCTTATTTATTTCCACGGGAAGACGGCAAGGCCAGCCTATTATTATTATAGGCACCTTATGCGTAACATTTTTGGTCCTTCGGGCCGGATGTTTAATATTAAAATAAATAGGTTGAAATTGCATTGATTTTTGCCTGGTTGTATATCTTTATTGAAATCCATTTAATTATTATTTTTATATTGTGAAATTTTGTGTTTATTCGAAAAAGAAATATATTATTAATATTGTAATAAAAAGGCAAAAAACTGTAACGTTTAGGCTTATTAGCTATTTTTTCTATTGTTAATAAAACTGAGCAACTCAGCTATTGTCATTATGGCCAAAGTAGCAAAAACTCAAATTCAGTCTATGATAACTGCATTGAATGAGATTAATATTTTTGTTAGAGACTACACAACTGAACATAACACAAAAACACAACTAATGGTACAACTAGAAGAAATTTCCACTATGGCAGACAAGTTTGAGGATTGTCAAGCAATAGTAGAAGAAGAGGATCAAACAAAACCTCAAAAGGAATGGATTGAAGAAAGAAGTTTTTTTCGAAAACTCCTACGTGGAGTAAAGGTGTCATTATTGGAGCTTATAGAAAAATATGAAGCAACTAGTAATTCTGTGACCGCTCCATCGTATAGTGAAATTTCTAGAAGTAAAAAGTTCAACATGTTGAGGCTTCCAACACTAAAAACACCCTCCTTCAATGGTGATTGGCAACAATGGACAGCCTTCATTGATGAGTTCAATACAATGTTTCACAATAATGAAGATGTACCCATTATCTTAAAGTTTCACTATTTGAAAACCTGTGTTGAAGGCCCAGCAAGAGAAGTTATTCAAAATTTTAAGACAACTGAAGACAATTATCAGGTAGCTTATGATGTCTTAAAATTGAGATACGAAAATAAAAGTGCAATAATACAATCTCATATGCGTTCACTACTCAATACGCCAAAGGTGATGTCAGCCTCTGCTAGTGAGTTGCAACGACTGCATTATCACATATCGTCAAACATCAATGCGCTAACAGCCCTTCAGCAGCCAGTAGACCAATGGGATGCTTGGCTAGTAACCCTTATGTGCACTCGCTTAGATAGTGTAACCGTTGCTGAGTGGCAGCTCAAACAGGACACCAAAGAGCTACCAAAATATAAAGACTTAGAACTCTTTTTGTCTAATCGGATAACAGCATATGAAGCTGGTGACATAGCAATGATATCCTGTTCTGACGACGCAAATAAAACCAACGTTACTAATAAACCTCGATCAAAAAAGGTCTTTCTAACAAACACTAATAATAATCAGCATAATATGGGAAAGACATTTGCATCTCCAAGATGTAATCATTGTGCTGGTCCGCATAGGATACCCAATTGTGAAAAGTTTGAGGCTATGTCCATTAAGGAACGCCAAGACCTTGTGGAAAAAAACCGATTGTGTTTCAATTGTTTATACTATGGGCACAGAGTTGACAAATGCAGATTTCCACCGTGCTCTAAGTGTGGGAAACGTCACCATGAAAAGCTACATACTGATGGTGCCTCGGTGGATCAACCGTCAACAGAACTAGAGAGAGTTGTAACCCTTGCTAAAGTTCTTACTTCCCAACATAACATCAGTATTGGTCCCAACTCAACCAACAATAGAATTATACTAGCTACTGCTGTTGTATGTATTACTGACATAAAGGGTATGCCTCAGTTATGTAGAGCAGTGATTGACTCAGGTGCTGAAATCAGCTTGATAACTGCAGCCTGTGCTGAACGTCTGCAATTGCCTCTCAAGTCATCTGCATGTCCTATTTCTGGTATAGGCATGACTCATTCCAAGGCTAACTCTGTCATCAATGCCAAGCTGTCATCACGGATCAATAGTTGTTACTGTACTAAATTACAATTTCACGTACTGTCTAGTATAACAAATAAAATGCCTAGTCAATATTTTGATGTCAGTTCACTGGAAATCCCAGATTCAATTAAGACTCAATTGGCTGATCCACACTTCAACATTCCTGGTCAAATAGATGTATTGCTCGGTGCTGAGGTATCTTATAGCATTTTTAGTGGACAGCGATATCCGTTGTCAGATTGTGCAATTCTGCATCGCACTACTTTAGGGTGGGTATTAGCTGGGAAGACCTTTCTGTCATCAGCTCATGTCAATAACGAATCACCATCACATCATCCCAATATCAATTCAGCGTTAGCCTTACTAAGCACTAAATCTGAAACACTCCGACAAGAGGAGGCTGAAGTTGAAAGGCATTTCTTAAGAACTGTTTGTCGTGATGAGAATGGTAGATTTGTTGTGCGATTACCGCTTCGTCAACCTATTGATGAACTTGGCGATTCTCGTTGTATGGCTGTTCAAAGGCTTTTTAATGTAGAGAAACGCTTAGCCAAGGACCCATATTTAGCCACAGAATATCGTAAGTTTATGGCGGAGTATCTAGCTCTCGGCCACATGGAAGTGGTACCAGAAAATGAAACAGAATTTAAATCTTATTATCTGCCTCACCATGCAATCATAAAATCAAATAGTCTCACCACTAAGGTGCGCGTAGTTTTTGATGGGTCAGCGCCCAGCAAGTCCGGTGTTTCCCTTAATGATATATTGTCAAGAGGGCCAGCTACTCAGCCTGAACTGTTCTCAATACTGTTGCGGTTTCGGGTGCATAAGTATGTCCTTACTGGTGATGTAGAAAAAATGTACAGACAAGTTAATGTATCCTCTTCAGATTGTAATCTACAACGCATTGTGTACAGAGATTCTCCCGAAGATCCAGTTGTTGACTATAGATTGCTCACGGTGACATATGGAACAAAGCCTGCATCTTTCTTAGCAACAAAATGTCTTTCTCAACTAGCTAACGACACCAGTGTTCCGTCTGTTAGCCGTGCAATAACTGAAGACTTTTATGTCGATGATTTAATTACTGGAGCCTCATCTATTGATGAATGTTTTTTCATGTATACTGAATTATGTCGAGTATTGAATGCAGCCGGCATGCCATTGCGGAAATGGTGCTCAAATTCTCCACTACTACTCAATAAAATTCCACATACTCAGGACGATCCATCTTACTTATTAAGACTGAATGATGAAGATACCATAAGCACTCTAGGTTTAACCTGGCAACCTAGCATTGATTGTTTCCGATTTGTATTTAAGAACTGGGATCCTCCTGTAGAAATGTCCAAGCGGTTGCTGCTGTCAGATATAAGTAAAATATTTGACCCCCTTGGGCTATTAACACCTGTCCTTATAAAGGGCAAAATATTCTTGCAACAATTATGGACCTTGAAGCTTGGATGGGACTCCCCATTGTCAACTGATATTGTGTCACGCTGGAAGCAGTTCTATCATCAATTCAAGGAACTTGAACACATAAGAGTGCCTAGAATTGTTGTCGACATTGACTCGCCGATAATTGAGCTGCATGGTTTTGCGGATGCTTCTCAAGAGGCCTATGGGGCATGTGTTTATGTAAGGTCTGTGGCTGCAAGTGGCAGCATAACAGTGTCACTAGCTGTATCAAAATCTAGAGTCGCTCCACTAAAACCAACCACAATCCCAAGACTTGAGCTGTCCGGGGCGCTTCTGCTGGCTGAGCTTGCTCATAATGTTTTACTTGAATTAGCAAAGGTGAATATTATTATTAATTCTTCAAGCATAATGCTCTGGTCTGATTCAACAATTGTGCTGTCTTGGATTAACACGTCTAAACCACTAAAGGTATTTGTCGCCAATAGGGTAGCACAAATAACTGACCTCACCAGTCCTAGTCAATGGATGCATGTTCCTACAAGCAGTAATCCTGCTGACATGATTACTCGAGGTATTGACGTTCAGTCGCTCAGTCATAATCAATTGTGGTGGCATGGCCCCGCATGGCTAAGCCAAGATAGAAAATGCTGGCCTGCGTGTCCTCCATTGACCGATGATGTTCCTGAAACCCGACAAGTTAAGCTGGTTCTTGCCGCTGTTTTGCCTGCTACCACCTTGCTTGATCAATATTCTGATTTTATGCGTTTGATCCGCATTACAGCATGGGTATTAAGGTTTTGTTCAAACGCAAGTATCCCCTCAAATAGATGTGACATCAGGAAGTTGGGCCCATTAACTGTGGTTGAGTTATCTAAGGCAAAAACAACATGGCTACTTCACGCTCAAAGGTGCGCCTTCCATAACGAACTAGACAAGCTGAGTAAAAATCAGCAACTATCAAGGCAAAGTCAATTGAAGAAGTTACACCCCTTTATTGACACCTCTGGGCTAATACGTGTGGGTGGCCGTTTGTCTCAGTCAAACTTGTCAGACAGTATGAAGTTTCCCATTGTGCTGCCATCAAAGTCAAGGCTAACTCGCTTATTATTCGAATATGAGCATAAACGTCTACTGCATATCGGACCGCAAGGATTGCTTTCACATATTCAAGGCACCTTTTGGCCCATCAGGGGGCGAATCATTGCAAAAAGTGTAGTGCACAATTGCCTCACATGTTACAAAACCAAACCTACTCTGCAAACTCCATTAATGGCACCTCTTCCACGAGCAAGAGTTACTATGGAACGCCCCTTTGCAAGAACAGGAGTAGATTTTTGTGGTCCCGTACACATACGAAGTGGTATACGCAGAGTCCAGTCGATTAAGGGTTATATAGCGGTATTCGTCTGTTTCGTCACCAGGGCAATGCACTTAGAACTCGTTAGCGACTTGACAACAAATGCATTTATGGCTGCTCTCTTCCGGTTCATGGCTAGACGAGGACAATGCTCTCACATATACAGTGACAATGGCACTAACTTTGTTGGTGCAGAAAAGGAGCTAAGTTCATATTTCAAAGTCCTACCTGGTAAGCGTTCAATCCAGGAAATGTTGTCAGATCATGGCATACAGTGGCATTTCATACCTCCAGCAGCGCCCCACTTCGGCGGATTGTGGGAAGCTGCTGTGAAATCTGCCAAAACCCACTTAAGAAAGATGTCGGGTAGTGCACTGCTCAACTTTGAGGAAATGGCTACGCTTTTATGCCGAATTGAAGCTGTGCTCAATAATCGTCCATTAACTCCAACCTCTAATTGTCCGTCAGACTACACTGCACTAACTCCAGCACATTTCTTAGTAGGCGGAAATCTATTACTACCTCCTGAACCTGATTGTCCAGAAGTTCCACGCAATAAACTGCAGCGGTGGAAATTGGTTTGCGGAATGGCGCAAGGCTTCTGGAGGCGCTGGAGCACAGAATACTTGCCGCAGCTCCAAATACGTGGAAAATGGACTAAGCCTAGCCGAAAAATCAAAATCGGAGACTTGGCGATCTTGAAAACCGATAATCTGGCCACAATGAGGTGGAATATGGTGCGTGTTCTCGACATTCATCCTGGTGTTGATGGTATTGTTCGTGTTGTGTCAGTCCGAGATTCCAATGGCTCAATTACCAAACGACCAGTGGTGAAAATTGCCTTACTTCCGGGCTCAGAAGAAGAAGAAGAAGAAGAAGACTAAAGGTACGGTTTCGTTAACGCAGTTGACTGCAGCAGTCGACTGCAAGACTGGTCTGAGCACCAGTAGTCTGCAGTCGACTGCACCGATATTTTGTATGACTGCTGCAGTCAACTGCAGAAACGAAACCGTACTTTAAGGCTCCAATTAAAGTTGTATTTATTTATTATTATTTTTTTTTTTTTGTTGTGTTGAATTACTCAAATTTATATTCCTTGAAAGGCTGTCTCCTTTCAGGGGGGGAGAATGTTCTGTGTAGTGCTGTTAGTTGCACCATTGGTCATTAAGTTCCCGTTGTCGTATTGCTGCTAACGTTGGCAACACTTGGTGCTATCGGTAGTCAGCTGCGATGATGGGGCTTAATGATAATGGTTCATTTTTCTGCAACTACAGTTATTGTTTTTAAAATTATTTTTTTCTCTGTCGGTTATTGTTGTTTAACCTTTGTGCTTGTCATGCCTCGTTATTATGTTTTTATGTCGCCTTTTCGTTTATTGTAAAACCTCGTGACAAACTGAATATTGTTTTTGGCTGTGCTGCTGCGATCTGCTCTATTGTCTGGTAAATATGGTTCGGCAACTCTAATTGATCATTATTATTATTAGTTTTTTCTGCTATAGGGTTGTCATTTTACCAGCAATAGGGCATTTTTTGGCCACCTCTTGTGTTGGTCCAGCATATTATTTTGTTCGAGGGTTTGTGTTGGCGGCATATTTTTGTGCATTCATTTGTGTCGTTCTGCGTGGCCACGTAAGTTGTTTTTTTTGTTGCAATTTTATGAGCTGCAGCTCATGAAATTAAATAATTAATATTTATATTTGAAATTTGTAGCCGCATGAGGCACATTGTTATACCTTTACATATTATATTTATACTTGAAATTTGTAGCCGCATGAGGCACATTGTTATACATTCATATAGTTTATTTTTTTATACTTGAAATTTGTAGCCGCATGAGGCACATTGTTATACATTCATATAGTTTATTTTTTTTTACTTGAAAGTTGTAGCCGCCTGAGGCAATTATATTTTTGTTATAGTACCTTTTATATTTTATATTCAACCAGGCAAATGTTATTATAATTATTCATTCAGCCAAAAATAAAAATTTATACAGTCCACTATTATTAAATTATTGTTCTTATTTATTTCCACGGGAAGACGGCAAGGCCAGCCTATTATTATTATAGGCACCTTATGCGTAACACTCGTCCCATACGATATAGGTATAGAGGTACCCGACTACCACGCTACAGGTATACCAGCAATAATGTCATACTAGCCTTATATATATATAGGTATACTGTGTTATACAGTATATATAATATAATACACAACAATCGAGGGGTTATTAGCATTTATTCTCAGTCAATAATAATCGTCTACCGAATAAATCACCGGACTTTTTTTCCATCGACGACAACGCGACGGCGACGTGGGTGTATAATATTGTATGTTATTTTGTCGACGGGTGACCGCACACGTCCCTCTCTCAGCGGCAGCTTCACAATACTCAGGTAAGCCAAGACGTGTGGGCAAGTCCTTTTTATTTTCATTATCATCGAGTCCCCCGTTCGCACTATCCTTGCTGACCAGTCGTGGTGATGTTTATTATTCGCTCTGCCCGATCACTACTCATTAGTCATGTTATATATTATTTTTATTCTATATCATTACGGTGTGCACTCTGCAATGGAAACTGTGTGTTTTTATAATTTGTTATTATCAGCCACAGTCGCCCATTAGGGCCGCCGCCGCTGTCACCAGAAACCTGATCTCGAAACGAGCATAAATCCCAGCTGTTATCAAACCCATTTACCATGCCTACACTCCATAATGTTACAAAATCGATATTTATTTTACTCCGCGCTTAGGTTTTATTATTTTTTTTTGTAAGCGATGTTCCGACAACTTCTATATAATAATAATAATAATAATAATAATAATAATAATAATAATAATAATAATAATAATATGAAGACGTAAGTTTGTAGATTATAATATATTACGTGGAATTAAAACCATTTAAAAAAAAACAATCTCACTACGATAAATATTCATAAACGTTGACGATTTAATGATTAGTTATTATTTTTTTTCGTTTTAAAAACTCACTATTTTGGCTAGGAACCAAAGAATTTAATTTGCTTATATAAAAAAAAACCGTTGAAATAAAAATAAAATTACAATAGATTATATAGATATCAGACCATCGATCAGTATAAATAAAATTAAAATTGTAAGTAAGGAAAAAAAGTGTACAACCGTAGAAGTAATAATCATAATGAACAATATTAAGCTAATCATTTAAAATATAATATATGATTGAAAAAGTTAGTATTATTGAGAAAACTCAAAAGTCTGCCCATTGTAATAATATTATTATATTACATATTGTGTGTATCTAACTATTATTTAGTTAGGTATTTATTTATTTATTTATAAGATTTAAACGCCTGTGAAGGTTCGTGTACAGTGTATGGAAATATTACAATACTTAAAATTAGTATACCTATACAATCATATTATTGTTCTTATAATTATATTACTCATAATTACTCTTGTTAACAATATAGCAGAGGTGAATAATAGATACTATAAATTACTAGTTACTATAGTCAGTTATTAGTTATATTTTAGCCTGCCTATCTTCTTCTAATTCAAGTTCTATATCTAAATAAATTATAATTTGTATTATGTAATTTCATTATTGAAGTAAATGGTTGAAAGATAGGCAGGTATAAGTTATACCGTATAACAGTTTTCGTGACGTGTCTCTCGGGTTGGGTTAAATTATTCGAAAAATTCAGTTTTTCTCGAAATTTTCCTAATTTTTTTCAGCATTTTGATTCTTCTTCACATAAATACTATAAAATTAAAATATTATAGCCTAGAACGAAAATCAAGACATTGAAATCGACAAGTGTGAGTAATAATTATTACAAATTTGTTGTTACTAAACAAACGAAAAGTTTATAATATAGTCTACGTATATTATTATGGCAATGCCTTAGTGAGTAATAACTCATTCTTTCATTGGTCTAAAACAGGGCTTGCAAAAGTTATAATAACGTTATGGTTATAACGTTATATTTGCCAATATAGATTGAAATTTTGTAAACGTAATTATAACGAAAAGCGATATTCAAAAATAATTAAATACCTCAAAACAAAGCATAACAAATAACAATATATTATATAATATATCATTAAACAAAAAATATCACAAAACGTAATTTATAGAATATAATTTAACGAAAAATAACGCAAAACATAATTATTTAAAAATTTTAAATCCATTTATTTAAATTAAGGTATATTATATACTATACAGGTTTCGTACAAATATATTTTATTTCATGCTATTTATATTTGGCTTAGAAAAAAATCTAAAAATTGATTATACATAATATTATATTCCGTATTCGGGGCATTACCTAACCGCATTTTTTTGGAGTTATTGATAACTTTTAAATTGAATTGCCAATAGTAAATACCTAGTAAAATAATAATAATTATTATTATTATTAATGATGCCCCGATAATTGCGATGTAGAAGTATAGAGTATAGACTTATTTTGTATTCACTCTGTACTTTGTCTACTCTGTAGTCTGTACTACTGCGGTCCTCTTGTGAGTGTTAAAGTATATACTGTTGTTAAAACATCCGTTTTATTTATATTTATTTATTAAAACAAATAACGCAATCATGGATAAAACAATTTCTAACCCAATACTGAAAATGCAAAGGTGCAGTTCATTAACTTGTTAAGAAGTTATTTTTTTTTAACTTTTTAACTTAACTAGATAATTATTTTTGTTTTTAGCTTATTAACTTATTCAGTTAAAATGTCCAACGTAATTATATAAAATACCTAGGTGTTAGGTATATAGAATACCATGTATACCAATATTAAATATTATTAAAACAATAAATTATAATTTTCTGGTAACGATGTTACCAGAATGTTTTGAAAAAATTAAGTAGTAAATTACTTACTGGATTGTTTGAAAATTTTGTGTAAAATAATGTTTTAATTCTGAATAACGTAAAACAGAATTTTTTTTTCAAATGCAATCCCTGGTCTAAAATAATTTCTTTTCAAATCTGTCGACAGTCTAAGGGATTTTATTTTATTTTTTTTTTGTTCCTTAAACGTCGTATAGACAATTCTAAGAGACATACACACACACACACACGCTCGCACTGCACATACGTATACAAAACGCCACAGAACGTGAAAAGAACAGTAATAGAATAGAGAAAAGACGTGTTTAGGAGATCATTGGATTGTGGGAAAAACGAGGTCCCTCGGAGGAAATTACCGGAATACGAGGATTTATTATACATTGCCCCACGGCGATAAGGTGGCAGTGTGGCACCGGAGGGATAATGGGGGCGGTGGGGATGGAGGTGATGGTGGTGGAGGTGGTGGTGGTAAATAAAGACGAAATCTCGTCGATGAAAAGAAAGTAATTGCCGACCAGGGCAGAGCGCAGGGTTCGTTCTTTTGTATGCGCTCGACCAAAGTTTTATACTTTTGTGTGCGTTCCTTTTCAACATCGTCAAACCCCTCCCCCCCTGGCAACTCACCTCATCGCCGCCGCGTACAATATAATATATATATAGTGAACGGAAAAAGTTGGGACGCACGGCCGATTCAAGTTGATAATAAAGATTTCGTTTCCATTATTAATATACGCAGCAGTGCCATATTCGGAAGTCTCTTCTATTTTGATTTTTGTGAAAATTAATACTCGAGTCGTATAATTTCGATAATTCAATGAAAAACGTCAAAAATATTCATAACAAAAAGTTAGCGCAGAGAATCGATAGCATTCGTTGACTTTCTTTTGGGGGACGAGGTGGCCGAGCGGTCTAACGCGTCGGCCGCGGCGCTGGCAGTCGCGGGTTCGATTCTCGACCACCGGGCGGCATTTTTTTCCGGGCAAGTCACGGTGTCCGGAAAACAAGTGCCGCCATCCCCCCACTCCGGGGCATG